GTTTAACTATTCTAGTTAATGAATGGCAAGATTTATTTCTCTTAGAAGGACATCAACACTCTGAACAGGAACATGAATCCTAGGAAAGATAACAAACTGGGAGAAGTCATCCAAGCTATTTTTCACAATAGATAAAAACATAGGTTAATTCAAGGCACAGGTATTTTCAAAATGAACACACAGTATTTTCTTTGGAACTAGGAATCCAAAGTAAGCCATAATTACATTATCAACATGCTGTACACAGGAGCTGTTATTATGCGCATTGTTTACTAACAGCATTACCAGAAAACGATCACAAAGTTATTCGCACGCACAGATGTGCACACATACACATGAGAAAGAAGTGTCCCTGTAAATAGTTCTTGAACAGCGGCGTTACCGGGGCTGTATACCAGAAGTAACGCCCAACACTGGGTTTGGAAGACGGCTGACGCAAGGCCAGCGTGCGGAGCACAGGTGATTCACACATCTGGTTTGGGGCTGGTCGGAGGCTGCTTACTGTTGCGTGGCAACGCTCCCAGGACTGACAGAGTCATCATAAAGTGGCAGGGAGATCCATCTTTATTAATGCCACATGAAATAACTCAACACTGAGGAAACCTGGGTGCTAGACATACTAAAAAAAGAAAGTATCGCTGTTTGGCCCCCAACCAGATAGCAGATTTCTGTTTAAAAATCTCACCGTACCTTGCAGACTCTTCTGGGTATGTAATGCTCAGATTTTAACCAGGCACAACAAAACACTGAATTTGTACTTTGCGTGCACGAGGCTACATTCAGATGAAAACATTCATTTTGCCTCACAGTGATCAAGTTTTGTGAGTTTCTTAATGCTCTTGAGCTGGTTTTTGCCATCTAAAGGGGTAGAAAAAAGCCTCGCATAGACTTGCCCAGCTGGGCAATCAGGAGAAATGAACCTTTGGCTTTCTTGAAGATTGCCACTAGGAGACTGAGGCCATATACGCGTCTTTATCCCTCCCACTGAGTTCAGGGAGTTGACAAACGTGAAATATTCTTACCACCTGAGTTTCAGCATTTGGGATTGCAAAGTTGTGAGCATCCGGAACATCTTGGTTTCAGCAAGCCCAGCTAAAGGCACAAACCCCAAATGCACTGCCATTTCCTCCTGCCATAGCTCAGCCCACCCCCCGTGTCTCTCTTTGGAGCTGGACTGAGTTCATGGCTGTGCCTACCCCCTGAGAATGACACCTCCAGCACATCACCAGGCCTTGGGCCGGAGGGAAACCTGGAGTCACAGGAGTGGGACTGCTTCCTGTTGTGTCCTTGTAGCTCAAATAAAACAAAAGCAGGATAAATCGAGTAATTACCTAAGACGTTGTGGTGAACTCAACTGTTTTTAGGAAGAAGCTGGAGCTCTCGGGCACAAATGACCAACAAGCACAGGGGACCCAAGCTTCCCCTCTGAACCCTTGTCAAGGTGAGCACCTCCACTTCCTACATCAGCGTCTTTCCAAAGTTTGCAGTGTTAAAAATACCATTTAAAAAGCTTGAGGAAATTAGCATAAGCGTCCATATCAACATAATCTGCATTACTGATACCTGTGCTTCAGAGAGTAGAAACAAAAGCAGTCTGTGATGAGAACTGCATTGGTGCTCATTAAAAAAAACACCAGTATGACTCTGGACCCTTGGTGCTGGAGTTGAAAGCACCGTGCCTAATCCTCAAAATGCACACCAGGCACACACTGTAAAGTGAACCATCTGATGGTACAAGTGGAAGAGTTTCCACAAATTATGCCTTACCAAGAATGGAGCCTACCGGGAAAACTACATGATTACCAGGCAACATTACATACTTGATGGCTGGAAAATGAGGGAATTCATGGCTTATCTAAAGGCAGGCAGCTACGGGCTGCACTGTAACGCAGTACTGAAGTTACCTATTCAGAACCTTCTTGAAGCCAGGCTGCAGGGACGCATCAACTTTCTTTTCAAGAACATCATCTTGCTAAGAACAGAAAGATGTAACTTGTCAAGTGGACATCAAAATGGAGAAGGGAAAACATTCACTCTCACTTAAGAGTGAAATACTTTAACGATGATTACCTGTTTAGTGAGTGCAATATCAGACAACTCTCAGAATTCCTTTTTTAGGTATGACTCTGGAGACACTTGAGCCCTCTTCCCCTGTGTGCTTACACTGAAGTTACATCTTTATGCAGATGTCTACTTTTGAGCTGCCAAACCTACTGCCATTGATGATGGAAATCCTTTGATTATACTGGAAGACATCAATAATTTTCTTTCTCTGCTGAGAAAACACCTCAACTTCCTGCTCAAGCCCATGCACTGCAAGCAGCTAGATATGTGTAACAGTGAGAGTTTAAATCTCTGCGTTCATCTGTACCTAAGTGAAACGCAGTGGAGAACAAGTGGCTCAGGAATGAGACTTCCAGATTAATGCCTCCTTCTAGAAAAATGGTATGTTTCTATTAAACCAAAGTTGAATTGTTCTTTTCTAGTACATCTAAAAATAATTGTTCTACAGAGCAGGCAAAAAGTGCAAATTATTTACACAGTTAACACGCAAAAAAACCCAACCCCTCACTGCTTGTTTCAAGGCAATCATTGTGTGAATAACTGCCATTTTAGCAATGCTCCTCACAGGTGACTGGTCAGCGCTGAATACTCGTTCTCAAGAACTGTAAGCAGAATTTTCTTCTATGTTTCTGCATTGACTGGTTCATTAAACACTGTCATTTTCAAAATAATAGGTAACAGCAACAGTACATAAATTGTTACAAAAAGACAACTAAACTATAAAATGAATCTTCAAAACCACAGAAAGCGGTATCTGGTTATTTACAGAGTAGTGCAGTATTATAAACACAGATTAAGAGATACCTATACATAAATGACATTCTTCTACACCTACAGAATAAAGAAAGTTTAAAACAGTTTAGAGTGACAGTCAACATTACAAATGGAAAGGATTATATTTTTCAAATTGCATCTCTAATGAAGTGCTCCTATCATTTTTTACATTGTCATTTACAATGATGGCACAAGTTATATACAGTGTTAGTATGCCGTATCAGTTACTGGGCAATTACCATGGCTGTCAACGGACCTTATTCACAGGTACTGAAACTACCTTTCCAAGGTAACACTTGGTGAGCAGGAACACAAGAAACTTAGAAAAGGATTAATTTATCTGATTCATTTGTCTTACATTACCGAGGGACTTTCTTTTTAGGGCAATGTGAATGTACATGCTCAGGGACTGACTTCCCAGTTACATCACTGATAGGCAGAGATTTGTGTTTTCTCAGTATTCTTAACATACACAAAGCGGTGTTTGGTATTCAGCCAGAAACTGAAGTTCGCGTCCTTTCCTGAGGTTACAAGTTAATGCATCACAAAGTGCAGCTCCCAGTGCTCTTTAAAAGTCATGACCATATGTTACTGAAAACGATGACTCCCAGTTTGGCATAGCTTCACTGAGGGTCAGAATTTCCATCTCATGAAGAAATACTCTGGGAAAACAGATGAAGAAAGTCCAGTGGAACAAACGACGTTCCCGAGATGGTGCTTGTTTTCGTCCTCCTGAGCAAGCACGGAGACCAGAACCCCGAGGCCAGGGCGGTCTCTGCAGGGGCCTTATGGTTTGTTTTCATCTGCCCTGGCACTGACCAACTTCCCTACTGGCTGCTGTCCTCAGAATTCCTTTTGAAGGCAGTTCCTGAGGTTTTTGGTGATTTACAGGAAATTGGTACACAGACAATCCTATTAATTTTCCAACTCAAGGGCTATTTCAGTTTTTATGAACTTGTGCCTCAGCTACAAAACTGTGTACTGGAAATAAAGAAACCTCATACAGAAATTTTGTGAGGATTTAAAAATAAAAGGCAGGGGGGAGTGGGGGAACTTGTCAAAGTACAGGCGCTTCCTAGGCTTCAAAATTAGCCAAAACATGTTATGTGGGAGTTACCTCATATGGCTACGTGGACAGATCCACAGATACTTTTCTGGTGACAGGAAGGACCTTTCCAGAGCTTTATCTGTGGCCAAGCAGCTGATACAGTAGTTTAACTGTGCTAGAGTAAGTGATTGTCCGAAGAAAGGCCAAGAAATACTTGGCAGGTACCTTGCCATCTCTGCAGATGAGATCTCCAAAAGACCAATTTATAAGCTGTAGGGTGCAACCCCCTACCTCTATCATCAGGTCGTTTATAATGTGATTCAAAAAAGCGGAAGAACCCAGAGTTCATCATCCTTTATGCCCTGAATAATTTAGAGACACTCTGCAGTGAGCAAAGAGAGACCCCAGTAACTTTCCGACTTCAGCCATACTCAAAAAGTTAAGCACTGGGATTCAAAACTTGCTTCACAGATGCACACCTACACCCAGTGGTCACCATTCTCCAGGTCACGTAGCCTTGGACTTCGGATGAACGCTCAGCAACACTGTGGGTTGGGTCCACAGTGTTAAGGTACGCAGACGTCACTGCAGTATGTTGCAGTGACTCACTAAAAAACCAAACAGTTTTCTCCTTCAGAAAAGAACATTCCTCAAAGATTCTAATACTTGTCCTATGTAGCTTGTTTTATTTGTTGGTTTTGGCTTTTTTTTTTTTAACTCCAACCATGCATCACCTGACATTAAGTCTGCTTGTATGTCGAGTAATCTGATTGTAAAAATGCTGTGTATATGGCTTATAATTACACAAGCTTTTTTAATTGTAGGTAATTGTCCTAGATGATTCTTTGGAATTTACTCGCCTGTTTATTTTTCCAATTAGCAGAACCTGAAACACCTCGCAGTATCACTTCTTAGGGCACAGGCACAAATGCTTGTGAAGGCACTTTCCCCACAAAGTTTCGAGCTTTTCCTTACTCATCACAGGCAGGGCAAGCTTTCTGAACACCAGCACAGTGTGCTATGACTGCTCTCCCATCGGCCCCCACCGCAGACACAGATGAACCCTGCTTACTGGGTAGATTTGTACACTTGTAAGTTAAATTAACCCTTTTTCTAAAGGCACAGGATACAATTTTCATATGACACTTAGGTAGGGCAAGGGCATTTTCCCACTTCGGGCATCTTTAAAAAGTCTGTCTTGCAGCAGACCACGGGATTCGTTCATGCCATCATCTTCTTTTTTCAAGAAAAATAATTACAGTTTAAAGCCTTTTTCATTATATCTATGAATCGTCACACAGCCGTGATACGATACTGGCCTGGGCATGGCTGCTACTCCTGTGATAATGCCCGTTGCGGGGTCATAACAAAGAATAGTGTCTGTGGCTTCACCGTTTTCTCGTCTTCCACCAAGGATATAGATTTTTCCATTACACACAGACATGCCACAATTCTCCTGTTTCAAAATACACAAAGGAATACACGATTATTTAAAAGACAAAGACCTCAGTTCCTGCAAGTCTACCCCAGTACAGAAGGACAGCACTGTGAGGACCGTTTGTAAACAGACTGGTCTATACTATTCCCTCCAGGCCAGAAATGCAGAAAGCACAGCTAGGGAAAGCAGCAGCAAATTCCTTCAGAAAATGCTGTTTCAGGTCTAAGCCCTCACTACACCTCAGCCAAAGGATACAATGGAATACTGCTGAACACCGTACTTACCACTTAAACATGTGAGATAAGGAAAGGAGGAGAGAACAAAGGTTTTCAGAAGCAGGCACTGTTAATGCAAGAAACTGGAACAAGGGGAAGCACCTCAGAGGAGCAACAGATAACAGAGGGATGTAAACAGGGGAGAGGAAAAAAGCCATGACTAAGAAAAGACTGCCTAAGAAAAAAAGACAGCACTATGTCTTACTTGAAACAAAGAGGGACAGGGTCTTATTTCTTCCTTAAAAGGAGGCATGGAAAAACACTCAATCCAACAGAGAACACAAATGAAAATAGAGGAATAGAGGAAGGCCAGGAAAAAGAACAAAATGCTGTTAAGGCAGATACTGTAGAGTTATGCGACTGATGTTTTGAAAACATAAGGAAAATTAACTGATACACACACTTTACTACCGAGGGGACACGTCTTTCAATTCTGCTCAGTGTTCCACATGTTGAAGTGATACAGCTCTCACAGCTAACATCAGACACTGTGCTATACAGTGGGGTTTTTCCCCACTGTAAAAACCGCCTTCAATATTCTGTTACATTGAAAGGCTTTAATCAATTATAAGGAAATTACTATCTTCAGTCTAAATTACAACATGCAGCAGAACTTGACAGAGATCAATTTCTAGACAATTAAAACATCGTCTGTTATACTGTGCAGTGTTCTCCAACAGTACGTGGTCTCAGACAATGGACTGGCTAAGCGTGACACCAGCCGAAAAGCTACTGGTTCAGAAACTTCCTGTTCTGCGCGGTTTAGAATGATACAGATGAAGAAGTAAAGCAAGAATGGAACGAGAGACGCAATTTTAACAAGGTTAAACAAGTGTAAACTCATTTCATGCCAGATATTCATGTAAAAAAACCGTTCAGATGTCTCCAGGCCATTTAGTGTTCATTACCTGTCTGCTGAACGTGTTCTGTACGTGCATCCAGTAGTCCTCAACGGGGTCATAGCAGTAGATCGCTTTGGTAAGCCCACCAGCAACATAGATGAGATTGTTCAAAGACACAGCCGTAATACATCTTTTTGCAATAGGGATAGTTGCACGGAGCAACCAAGAATTAGTATCGGGATCGTAAGACTGAACCTGAAAACAAACACATGCATTTCAGATTAAAAGCCTAAATGAAATAACAACCTGGCATGCCCACGCTGGTTATGTAAGGAGGGCCAAGGACGCGACACCTGGCGGGCGCTCCCTCACCGAGAAAATGAACTCAATATAAATATAGGTCCACGTAACGATGATTTCTTCATAGGCACTGTATTCACCACTGTTTTCCTTATCCCTCAGGTTTAAGAATTCGCACAGCGTGTGAAGCCAACGACAGCACCCGTGAGAAAGACCGCAGTAACAGGAAGTGATTGAGTTAATGCTTTCTACTTCAAATGTTTACTATTTTAGTAATGCCATACTCCATTCAGCAAACCAGTTAAAACAGCTCTCTGCGTGATCTGCTTTCACACCAGCAATACTGTTTACCATGGATCAAAGATGCAATCAAATACAATTAACTGACCTTGTCAGAACACGTGTTGTCATCAGGACCACCCCCGATGACAAACAGTTTGCCAACGCAGCTGGTGACTGCTGGGGAGCTCACAGCTTCTTTGAGGGGAGCCACCTCTGTCCATCGATTGGAAAACGAATCGTAACACTCCACACTGCTGAGGCGGTTTTGCCCATCGTATCCTCCAACAACATATACCTACGCAAAGCGGTGACAACGATCATCCTTTCATTTTTAGAGTAGTTACTACATTTAAATATGAAATTAAATGATCTAAAGCTGCAGGATCCTTATTTGCTAGGTTTGTGAAGGGATACTTTCCTCAAATTTTTAATTTATACATAGAGGGAGAAGAATGTGGTCTAAAAATAACAGGTAAAGACTCTCTGGAGAGTTCCATTCAGTCACATGTAGAATGACACTGCAAACACACAACCATAGTATTACTGAGAGAGAAGCTTCCTATTTGAATGGCATTTGTTAAAAAAGGCACTTCTCTGCATTTCTCTTTTACAGATTGCATTCAGCAACAGCATCACTAAAAATCCATCTGAATTTACCTTTGCTTTTCTGTGGTTTACTTTTTTCCTACTTGCTGCAAAAATATTTCTTCCTCACAGTTTGTAAACGTTACTTTCCTGTTGCTCCTCTCATATTTAAGAGCAGAGGTCCTTACTATTTGTGTCTGCCTTCTTCCCTGTGTTTGCTCCAGCATCACATCTCATCTCCAAGAAGTTACTCGCTCTAAGGGACACCACATGCACGTCTTCCCTAACTTTCATTAATGGAATCCTCACAGGCAGTTGAGCCCAACTACTGTTTTTATGTTAGCACATACATGCCTTCAAAATTCAGCAAAGCCTCCCACCTCCCCACAGCATGTATTGGCTTCATTTCAGTATAAAACACTGAAGAGCACAGAGCTGACATTGAGTGGTAAATCCAGATGTTTCTCCGACTCCCAAAAAACTGCTTCTTGGGGATAAGACACTTCAATAACAAAAAAACCATAAATGAAGGGTACTGTGATTTTCATGTCCACAGGTGCTGTCTGACTGATAAAGAGCCTAACTGCTTAAAATAATCCTTTATTTAAAAATATGTCTTTTGAAAATCGACAGGGGATACAAAGCAATACTAAGTATGTACATATGTTTTCTCCGCTATCATCTTACACACAGCAAACATCCCCACTATAAGAAAATTTCTAAATATACTTCTCTTACTTTACCAAGAAGCACAGCCATTTTATGACGCCATCTGCCTTTATTTAAGGAGGCAACTCTGATCCAAATGTTAAGTTGAGAGTTATAAATCCAAACATCCCGGCTATTGATTCTTCCACCTTTAAGAATAAAAATATGCCAACGTGAATAAATTCATTATTGAATGAGGAATGTTAACTCTTAACAGGCCCCTCTACAGTGGGCAATGCAAACTTTATATCCTTTTTAGGTAAAATAAAGTTCTATCTGTATTTGTACGTTAGACTGAAAAAGTGAATGTCAGTGGGTTTCAAGCGTGAAGATGTAGACTGAGTTATTTTACTATGTGTGCCTTTCCTGGCAACATGCTGAGATCGCATTAGGTTACTTCTTGAGACTGGAATGAATTTTAATGGCTCTTGCCCGTGCCCTTCAGACTTCTGTAGTACCACCACCTGGATAAGACACTCGCAATCTTACCCGCCTACGTGCCTCACGGCACGGCCCTGCACTAGCTGTTCCCCTACCTGACTCGTGCATACATCACCTTGTTCTACCTTTTGTTTAAAAGTCACACAGGCACTACAAATCTGAGGAGACAGTTTCTTTGCTTAAACTCACACATGGGGCTTGGTGTCTAAACCGTCAGCTGCACCCCATAATTCACCCTTGCTGCAAAACTGAACGAGAGGTGTTTAAAAACCTAGAGCTACTGCTCATTTCTCTGTAAAAGGCACCAACTCGGGTGCTAAAAGGGATTTGTTTCCATTCCACATTCCCACGAGGAGAAGCCGCTTTAACTGTGTTTCTTTTGGAATCTAGGCAGCCATACAATAGAAACGAGCCGCCAGCAACGTCCCCACGCTGCGGTGCTCCTAGGCAACTCATGTTTTTAACCAGCACACAGCACGTTTTGTAGCAGAGAACATGCTGCTGGGAAAAGACTGCTTGGGATTTTTTTGCTTGTCATTTTTCCAGCTGTTGCTGCAAACAAGCCACCGCTATCTTTCAAAGAGGCGTACTTCAGGAGCATAAGCCAGTCTCTTCAAACACAACCGACATCCTGGAAATCAGCTGTAAAAAACTGCTGATTAATACCAAACCAATAGCCCAGGAATCACTTTTGTCTACGCTAAGATTGGTTTGGGGCTGGTGTTCACCACTGACATCAGAAAGTGACTTTCAGTTGAGCTTCTGGAAGCTCACGGTACACAGCTCTGTCCCACTAAGGAAACCAAACCCGCAACAGAACGCAACAGCGCAGGAAAGAAAGGCGTCTTGAATTGTTTAGGACTATTCACCTGAAACAAGAATATCGTTCCGCAGAGCGCACACCGCATACTCGGACTTGGTAAACTCTGGAAGTTTAGCCAGTGACTTCCACTCTCCTGTTACCGGATCGTAGCACTCGGTGTAGGGCAGATTAAACCCTCCAACTCGTTCACAGCCTCCAACAACAACTATCACCTCAGAATAACCGGTCGACCTGAAAAAGTGACGATGGAAAACTAAGATGTGGAAGATGGTTATTAGTACATGGAGGAGGCCAAGCAACATTGTCTTCAAAACTGTGTGAAAATCGGAAAATTTACTGTTTAGCATTAACTTCTACTGCAAAGAAAAGAAAAGAAAGGGTCACTTAGCAGAGTTAGAGGTTTTCACTGTTTCCAGCGGTCTCCTTACGCAGCGGGTTGCTACACCGACACGTGCTCTCTGTAAGCAGTGGAGTCGCACTATGTAAAAATCAAACCATTAAATAATACAGCAAGTCCTGACTCCAGCAGTATTTTTCCTTTGACTGTGTATGTGGAGATATGAGAAACAGAGTTCAGGTAAGGGCCTGAGACAATGAGCTGAGCAATCTGTTTCACACTGAAACCAGAACTCCCAGTTTTACAAAATCTATAATAGTTTAGATTGCTTGAATATTCAAAAAGTTTAAAATATTTTATTTCCTGGAAAAAAAAGCTGAAGGCATACAGTCACCAACATAAGGGAAAAGAAAGAGACCTTAGAGCCAATGCACAGTTAAAAAACTGAATATCAAGTGTAGTGACAGAAATAAACACTAAAGAACACTGAAGTAAAAATTCAAGCCTAAACCAAAAACTAAAACCCAGTGTGGGGAGAAAAAAAAAAAAAAAAGGCATCAGTCTGCAGTGTACACAGTAAGCCTTTCAAGTCTATTCCACGTTCTCATTCTCCTACTGCTTAACCTGATGCTTCTGCCTTACACACGGGCTGCATTCACGGCAGTAACAAGAATCGCTAGACGTTAATCCACGCTTCAGTGCAGAGAATCAACCAGCCATCTTCCATGTGCACATCAAACTACGACCAACTTTTTTCTCCTCTCAAATTTATCATTTCTTGTAAGCATTAGTCAAGATGTTTTCTCTTCAGGGCATTTTGAGACTAAAGGATTTTGCACTGATAGAGTTAGTGGACTCAAGGACTGCTGTGTATTAAGTAAAACTGAACACAAGATTGATTTTGGTTTTGGTCAGCCTTTTTGTTGTGTCGTGCTTTAACTTCGATCCCCACAGGAGCAAGCGTCTCATTCGCACCACTGCTGAGTACTGCAGTGCTCTCTCGAAGACCTACATGACTTAGGGCTGCATTTGAGATAAAAGTTGCATGATCTGTCCCCAAATTTCCTAACTTATGGAAACTTCTGCACATATTAACTGATAAATCCTGATGACATTCTCCCCATTTTGAAACATCAGGAATGAAACCAGTTAGCCCTTCTATCTCCTTGGCAGCACACCCCACCATCTGAATATACCACATTTCCTCCTACTCAGGATATTTTAAGGAGGCAAAGGCACTACTAAATGGTAACGTACTGTGAGATTATACGACGAAGATGCATATCTGGGGAAGCACACTTACACGCCTGAACTAGGAGAAACACTCTCTTCAGCTCCTTAGCCTTGAAGTCATGCTCATTCCTGGTTTCTATGTATCTACTGTTACTGTCTTTTGCTTTTTTGAGGAACAACTCTGAAAAGAATCTCTCAAAGGATAAGACAGGGGAAGTTCCTGTGCCAGCAAAGCACTACCAAGAAACAGAATTGCCTTAAGAGCAAGATACTCATCTCTTCATCTGCCGAAGCAAGCCCAGCTACATCAGCTAACGGTATGTACCGAAGAACGTTGATTACTTTCTAGATTAGACGCAAGGCCTCCATTCACTTACTGGAAAGCTTACTGTACTGGATTATCAATCTCTACTTTCTAACTAAATGAACCAAAAATCTTTGATCTGAGAGAGCTCTCTACGAATTGTTGTGATGGAGTTTTGCCCTTTGAAGGAAATATTAATTTAATACAGCATTTCAGATGCACAGAAAACCAAAATTCTTCCCAACATTTTATCACCTCTAGAACCACATCCTTTCTTCAGTTAAGAAAGGTTTTCTCCGTTAACGTCTTCTTGAAGGAGTCTTGCACTGCACAGGTTCTGGTTAGTTTCAGAACATTTTTTGCAAATGACAGAGGGCACATCAGTTAAAAACAAAAAGTGGGAGTACACCAGAAGAACATACAGGCAAAGTCTAATTCCAGAAGAGAGCTAAGGATATATTTGGAGATTAGAGAAAGCCGTGATCTCAATCAGCAGTACAGAATGTTGTCCTTGCATCCCTCAAAAGAAAGGATGTGAGCAAAATAACAGAGGTGAGCTAAAAAGGGCACTGGAGAGGTTCCAGGAGACACTCTCTGTCCAGGAAAAGGTGCACAAAATAGAAGAGAGGAAGTGGAAGGCAGCTGACAGAGTATCATGCAATCCTGTGCATTCCCAAGAGCAGGTTTCCAAGGGGTCCGGAGTTACATGCAGACCTCTAGACGAGGTGAGAATGCCAACCAGCACAGTGTCAGCTAGACAGAAGAACTTCCAGTAGTTCAAACAGATTCCCTTCCAAAACATTCTAAGATTGGGAGACAAATTACCATCATTCTGGTAAATCAATACTTCCTCCCCTCCCCCCTAGTTCACTTTAGCAAATGGGATAACCAAGAGGAAAGGAGAGCGAAACACAAACTCATCTCCTTGAGGCACAAATAAAGAGACTCTATTAATGCTTTCTAAAGGCAACCAAAAAGGATGTGTTTAAATGTATACATGTAGTAACTTCTCATTAACTAAAGAGGACGCTCACATACTGTTACCAGACAGCTTAACAGGACTGTGCGATTGCCAAACTCACAGGGACCCTGAAGATAATCCAAGGCATGCAGTAGGAAGAGCCTGGTTTGTTTTGCCTATGGAAACATGTTACTGCTCACTGCTTGGTCTCGGCCTGGAGATTTGCTGCACACCGCTGCTGACAGCCGACAAGACAGCCTCAAGATGTCACTGTGTCCTTGCAAATACATAACTGACACGGAGAGACCGCCGGCACGTGCCAACGATGCACACACCACAGACAGCAAGTGCTGCGCCACATTTTAAGCTTGTATTTACTCCAGGTAACTCTACGCAGGCTTCCAAAAGAAAAGAAAATATAATCAACTGCGCAATGGCAATCCACACTGTTCTTTTAAAAAATGGGTAGGTGCAAACGTACCCATACAAGGAATTGCCATTGATTTCCAGAAGTTTCAGTAAACACACTGGCGTGGGAATTTCTGACCCTGCAGCCCGTCTCCTTTTAGAAACAGTTTAGAGAACGAAATCCGAGGAAGGCAGGGAAGAAGGAAGAGAGGCCTGCAGCATCCTCTCCTCCCCAAACCCCCAGGAAATGCCCAGAAAAGGCAGGATGAAAACGTGGGGAACTTGGTAACTGTTTCAAACCACGATCTCTTTTTGCTATAGGCAACAGAAACAAACAGGCAGCAGAAGCGAAGGGCAAAGAACTATTCCATGAATGTAATAGAAAAGGGGAAAACATTCCTGAAAAATGTAAATTACTTCTCTTGTTCCTGCCTACTCGAATTGACGGTGCAGTTTAATAACCTCAGCAGTAAACCCAACAGAAGCCACAGAATCCCAGAGCAGCCCCCCTCCGCCCCAGCCTCAGAGAGCACCTGTATCAGGCAAGGTACTTCCTTTACAAACCGGAACCCTGCACCGAGGCCCTTCATGCTCTCACGCACCTACACACCACGCACATCTGTCGGAGCAAATACACTCGGACTGTTAGGTCCGAGTGTATTTGCTCAAATTGAGTAATAAATGTACAACCAACACCACATGATATAAAATCTCTCCAACTACTCAGACCAAAGACTTCCTTGTTTGAAGAATTCCCATGGTTCCCCCCTCAGGCCCGCACTCAGGTATGAACTGCCTCAGAAGCTAACATTGCACCAGCTTCCAAACTGCCATGAGCCAGAAGTTTCCGCAGACCCCCCATGGCAGCGTGCTGCTTAGAAAACCTGGCAGTAGGGCTGCAAGGACCTTAAGAATTTCTTCTCTCACAGCAGGATTGAAGACTGGGAAGCCACTAATGGGGCAAATGCTTGCTAAGTGGGGTTTTTTTTTTCCCCCCCTATAAGCAAGCCTTTAACACATGCCAAAAAAAAAAGAAGGCTCCCTGCACAGCCACTGTACAGCAACCACCTCTGACTAGGAGTAAGCAAAGAGGAGTAACTCCTAACAGTGTCTGTTTGTCCAGACCGGATCATTGCATCACCTCAACGGAAGACAGGATTTTTCAATCAGCCGGAGTTAGCAGTAAGCTATCATGTCAACTACCATCCGGAGGTAAGGCTTTTACTGGGAAAATATTTTTCAGGAAAACAATTCATAACCACCATTGCTCATAAATGCCACTAATGGACTCTTCCTCATTTCTTCTTGCAACTTCAGTCACCTATTTGTGTAACACATTATTAGCTAGTAGCAATTCCGAGTTATTAAATGTCATAGAATAAGCATGAAATACTTCAGGAACTGTTTCATAACTCTAAAAATGCAAGATTTTGTTTCTTTACAGTTAAGAACCTGTTGGTCTGCTGTCTGCTGTCTATTACAAATCCATGTACTACTGCATCGGTGAAGTATTTGTGACATAGCAAGGGAATGCTCTGAATCTATATCCCCATCCACATCCTTTACAGTGTCCTGTACACGTGCATTGTCATAAAAAGAAAGAAGGCTGGGAAATGGAATGGTTGACTTGCTAGGGCACAGTAAGTTCTTTCCAAAACATCGCTATTGTATGCAATAACCAGATACCACTTAGCCAACATTAACTTTTAAAAATATTTTCCTTGCAAGGTAATATAGCTTCACTCACCTGAACAGTCGTTTATTTCATCACAATAAAGCGCTCTGTGCAAAGCGACTCACGTATACTTCCAAGACCTGTGTAAGCTTCAAGTACAGACGTGTACCTGCAGTGGCTCCAGAATGCAACATACAATCAACTGCAAGAGATGTTTTGCTGGGCACGTGTATATTAAATATCTGTACACGGAACTATGTCCTTCTCCTACAGAAATAAGGAAAAAAAAAAGAAAAATTCCTCACCTGCGTGGCCTAGTTCTGGGAGACATCATCTCGTTTCCCAGGATATGGTACCGCCTGGCTTCATGCAGCAGCTGATAGCACTCTGGGGAGTTCTGAATCAGCTGGTCCACTTCCACAGTCTGAACAAAGTAGTTTGGGTGTAACAATGGGAGCCTGACATGCGTCAGAAGTTCATGTAACACTGGTCTTCGCAACTCAACTGCCCGGTACACCCAGCGCATGACGGCTTCAAACACCATCTCTTCCTTACTGATGACCAGTTCATCACTGCAAATGTAATCAATAAGCTCATCCTTCCCCAGTTCAAGGAATTCTTCATGCTGGGACACATCCTCAAACGTCTGCAGCGCAAAATTCCTGCACTTGGTGAACAGCGTCTTGAGCGAGTGCGTATCTGCAAAGCGCTGGATTCCCAGGCAATTGCAAGGATCCAGCTGTTCTTCCAGGAACTTGGCACAGGCGTCACGCAAAACACTGATCTGAAAGAGACTTGATGTTTCAAAGAGATACTGCACGTTCTCTGTAGTGATTTTCACCTTGCCAGTGTATACATACTGCAAAAAGCAATCCATAGCTTCAGCAAAAATGCCGTTGATCTCCACCAACATCTCTCTGCTCTCTCTGTGATCATTGCAAAACATGGCTCTGAAGTAGCTGCTGCAGGCCGAGAGAACAGCCCGATGGCAGGGAAACTCCCTGCCCTCCACGCAGATGATAACGTCCGTGAACAACCGGCTGTCTCGAAATTCATTGAAGATCTGGAGAATGCTTTCAGCATGGGACGATCCCGAGGAGAAGTCGAAAAACTCCGGGCCTGACAAGGATTTTGGGTCCATTTCAAAAACTTTCCGTTTGGTTGCAGGGGAATCTCGTATCCCACTATCCTCTCTATTCAGTCTGCGTCCCAATATTAGTACCATTGTTACATCAGTTGGCTATAGAGTCATTGAGAAAAATTGGCGGCGTTTCTCCTTTGCAGCACTACGGTCTGAAAAATTAAAACACTTCAGTATTCACTCTGGCATATTTGTAATTTCATCATGAGCATTAGACAAGATACTTGTTTGGTCACTCTAGGAACTGGCGCAGTTTTTGACCTTTACTCGAGGTGACACAGTGTTACAGGGCAAGTTACGTGCCCCTTGCAATGGAGCTCCAGGGCAATGGAGCGTTATCTGCTATGCGTTAAATACAAAACAGACCCACGGAACAGGTGTCATCGGTGAGTTCTGAATGTCCCAGCACCACTGGCACTGTGTTAGTGTTCAAGATAAAATCCCCGAGATCTCGGCTCCAGCAAATCACCTGACTGACAGAAGCCAAAGATTTCCTGGATAAAGATCCAGAGCTTGGACTTTTCTCATTTCAGCTGGAGCCTCCAAGTGCCACTATAACATCACTAGTCATAAAAGGGGGTGTCGGGGGGGAGTGGAGTTTTGAAAATAAGAATTCAGTTGAGAAATCACTCCCTTTTCATTATAAAGTCTGTGACAATCAAGTCTTACAATAACAGTGTTTAGTATTGTTGTCATCTCAATAAATAACTGTGACCGCCAGTTTTCACCTGTTCGTTTCTAGTTTCTCCACATTAGTTCACTGATAACCTAAGAGTCAATTAAAAACAAACGTAAATTGCTAGCGCACAAAACAGACTGAAGGATTACATTTGTTCGTGTAGAACTACTGAAAACAAGAACCAAGGGCAACTTACTGAAGACCGGGGCAGTTCCTGTTTGCCAGAGTACTACCAGCAAATAATTATTGGCAGAACTTTTTGCTCAAACAAACACTTCTGGGTTTCAGATGCAGCGTACGGTGCCCCCCCAGCACAAACACCCATCAGCAGAGCACTGAAGGTGCAAAAATCAAGTACTCAAATGTTAGCGTATGCCAACATTAAAGTTTGGCAGTGACAGAACGGCGGGTGATTTTGCAGTTAGTGCGTGTTGGAGGGAACGTGATCACCCGATCCAGCAGCAATAGGGCTTTTTCCCACTCCTGAACTTCAAAATGAATGAGATCAATGTCCACCAAAACATACTGAGGCAGGAACAGGCTGGGCAAAACGCCCTCTCAGGTCCAACGCGGGCATCATTCCAAACACATGTAATATTTATTTGCATGTCTACAAGGACACGCACTGAACTGCTTTAAAGTTTATGGAATTTTTTTTCACGCTTCCAAGAGGTTATATGCAGTTTCCCTCATTCCCCACTCGCACCGTCAGTACACGTCAGCTCCTCACAGCCATTCCACCGCCCCACGTGCTAGCAGCTGCAGAGCTGCAATTACCCAGTCCACGTCTGCCTACATCATCGCTTAATATAGAACACAACGAACACGCTTTTTTTAAACAGGCTTTTTATACAGCCCTTTTGAAAGGCACCATCTTAACAAAGAGCCAGAAAAGAATGTGTGCTGTACACTTACTCCTTGAGAAAAGAGGGTTTAAAACCATCATTTCCCATATACAATTTTTTTGCACATATCTACAAGGTAGATTCTTGGTATGGCTCATCTACTCTACAAAACATTTAATTTTAATATGAATTAAAATCAGATCAGTTATTGCTTTGATGCCCAAAACCCATGTTGCAATGAGCCGATCTAATAACTGATTGCTTCAGAGAGACCCGAACGAGGCATAAATGGACAGTGCGATCTGCAGCTGATATTCTATCCAAGGCATTTCACAACCAGCTTGCCCTCTAATGACGCAGGCCAGATTAAAAACAAAACAACAACCACCACCACCTCACCAGCTGTTGCTATAACCCCCTAACCCTCACAGTGAGCTTTACCTGCCATTAATCCCACACTACCCAGCATGAGAAATGAAGCACCTGCTCTAAGAAAGGGAAATGTGACAATGAAAATATAAATATAAACCCTCAAGGCTTGATTCCAGCGTCACAGATTTAAATCAGAAGAATGCCACCAAAGCTGATGGAGCTTTTCCAAAGCTAAGCTAGCCTGGCATCCGAAACGAGACACTGGCATATTGCACGACAGGGCACAACCCGGCAACAAAGTGAAAAAAGCTTCAAGACGAAAGCTTTCTCATTATGTGAGAAGTTAAGACGACACTCTATTATGCAATCGCTGCTAAATGGCAATAAGGGCTCTGGGTTGAGACTGCTCGCTGAGGGAAGCAAGGACTTCTTTATGCTTGGGACTTGGAACCACAGGAAAGTAGTGGTCAGCAAATGACTTCTTTTCTGATGTCCCGACGGTTTAAAGAAACAGGAGACTAAAAACCCAAAATCCATGGAGCAAAAACTAATCGAGGGGATAAATACTGCAAATATACAACTAACAGAAAGGAAAAGTAATTACACTCCATTGCAGGAATTACTGCTTTTGAATATACTATGCTCCACCTTCTATCCAGCTAATGACTTCTGCAGGTTTGCCTAAGCAAAGGAATTTTGTAAGATATCGGGATTGCTACCACATGTCCAGCTCGATCAGACATACATATGGCCTTCTTGCCAATCCTGCTCTGGCAGTTTTAAAATGTCACCACTTCCAGCTGCCCACCCCATCTTTCAGCCCCAAAGCTGGACAGGCAGAGGGGAATCCGTGCCCAAAGCTGAGCTGCTTTGGATGCAAAGGAGGGAAACACAAGAGGATATACCGTGTATATAAAGGTACACGTGCCCTCAGGCTCTGCACTATAAAGCCCTGATCATTTACAGAATTTAACATTTGAGAGATCTTCAGTAAGTTTAAACAAAGCAAAACAAATGAAGTATGTTCCCCAACGGCAACTAATCTAAAAAAATACAAAACGCTTAGGACTGCTTGCCTGAGCAAGGGTCAACAGGAGGGACCTTAAGCCCATCTGAGAGTCTGCCCATCCAACACACTGGAAAGGAAAAAGGAATCACGCTTTCCTCCAACAGGTTTTCAAAAATGTTTTGGAAATACAGACACGGCTCCGACATGGATGTTACCTGCACATCTCTACATTAAGCTGGGAAAAGTTCAGCAGATTCCTCTGATTTCCATAATCTATGCTGTCTGTAGGCTTGGCTACACAGGACGTTCCTCAGAAACGATCTAAGAGCCCAATCCAGAGGCAGGAAAATGAGGGCTAGAAAGTGTTTGCCCTGACACCTTATATCAGTTAATCCTCCTATGCAAATTAACTTTAATGTTGCACTAAACTCCTCCTTCCTCCACTGGGAGGGAGGATCCTCACGGGTTTTACATCCCCATGGATTTTACCCCTCTCCCTACAGCCGCAGCTCTGGCCACAGCTAGCAACCTTCTGGTAGAGCTGCTCTTCCGTCGCTCCTGCCTCACAGGACTGGTCCGTCAGGTGAACGGATGGAAAGCAGCAGAGGGAAGAGGCGGTCGGGGCCGGGGCGAGGCCCTGCGGTAACACCTAGTCATCAGG